GGAATTTTTGATCCTTTCTGCCTTGCTTTTTTCATCACCTGCCATAAAAAATTTTCATCGATTCTTGGCCTTTCTTTCCTCGATACGAGCAGCCTCATACCATCAATTACACTAAGTAGGCTCTGCTTGTACCAACAACTCATACTATTGACAAATAGGTGATGGAAACACGGAAATGGTATTGCAAAACTAGCTCATCCAGTAACAAACTTCTCTAGCACCACGAGCGTTATTGCTACATCTCTTTTTCTCTCTTAAGCATTACCTGAAATCTTGTTCCGCTTATACCTATCTAACTTACAGCCTACCAGCCAGCCCACTTAGAGAATATACGTAGATTTCCTAGTAACAATATCTCGAACTTAAGATCAAGTTTAAAGAAGTATTAATCATCTTAGTTATGCTACATTACATTACAAGAGCCTCTTTTAATTCTCATACTTAGCCCATTTGTATGTCTGTTTGTTTTTCTGTATAGAAATAGTTATTATATTTTATACACACGCTACACTGCTTTACAAACGTATAAACATGATATTTCCATTTCCTTTCTGCCTGATCTTACCAACAGAAATGATACCCCCTTGCTATCCAATTAATACCACATTGTATCCACTAGTTGTTCTAATTCTAATTCTTATTCTTGAACTTGATCTTGAACGGGAGCTTGTACTGCTGGAATTCAATTACAACATGCCCATTTGCCTCCAATAACTTTGCTAGAAATACTTTTTACATAAGGTTTTGTTTCCGTTATACAATTGTTGATATTAAACTAGATTTTCGTTTACTGTATTCCTTTGAAGGAAACATTTCTATACTTTTATTGGGTATTGGAAGAGACTTCACTGCCTGCCCTACTGTTCTATAATATCAGCTTTCGGAATTGAATGAGAAATATTAGAAATGTAAAAAGGCTTTAATAAGAACTTATATTGGTTCCTCTTCTAATTTTAAGCTTTCCCTTTTGTTCTTACTTCTTGCTTTTTTTACTTGCCATTATTATTAGTTGTTTGACACTTGCTTAGGAATATCCACGTATGTTCGATTCGAATTCAGTTTATCTTGATACTTCATAGTTACCTTAGAATAAACCTCTGATATTTGTATATCAGACAAGAAATTTAAATTGGCTTATACTTAGGTGTTTTGTACTCGATGAGTTTCGGAAGTAGAAGTAATGGATGATTATGGGATATTATTACTTTATTGTCATGCCTCAAATGGTTGGCTTAATTTTATAATGTATACGTTTACTTAAATATATATAAGGACCTCTTATATTGTCATCTCTTGAATATGTCCATTTGGTTAATTGGGTAATTAATAAATGAGTCTGTATCTTACATAGTATATTAATCAAATTTACAATCACTATATTTGTTATTGTTTTGAACTTCAGATCTGTAGCAGAGTTGAAGGTAATATTCATATCACATTGTTAGTTGTATAATATTTTATGTTAACCCTTTAGCATTCTCTCGTTGCATAGTTAGTTTAATATTTCTCATGTCAAAGGTAGCTTTATATCATCCATTACATATGTTTAATAAAAATAAAAGTATTGGAGGTTCTGTACAACATCAAGGATCAGATTCAAACGAATCAAGTAAGCAGAATAATCAATCCTCATCGTGGGTATCAAATTTAAAGAAACATCACTATCTACCAAATGTTTACCTAGTAGGAAGGGGTAAACATTTAAGTGAAAAGCCAGATACAATTTCAAGACATGATCTGTTAAAAGCTGCCCAACTTCGTGACACTGGAGATAGTTGATATACTTTTATTATTTTGGAATACAATTAGTGTCAAATATTTATTGATAGTTTTTCCTCGATGAGATGAATATAAGAGGAATAATTGTTTTTCCGTCATACTACTACTTTTTGCATATTTAATTCATTTGATTTTATTTCAAATCATTATCATTAATTCGATTTTTTATTTGAGTTATTCAATTCATCACCATCATTCTCAATATAATTATTATTACAGGTTTTGCATAGTGATTCTTTTTTATCACTAGTCTTTCTTTCCAGCTTTTATGTATGCTTTACTATGACGCTGATACTTCCACTTTCATTGATACATTTTGCGACAAGGTATCCAAGTAACAGGCATTCTGGATCAGGTTTTATTATTCAGATGCTTATATAGATGTAGAACACCATTTTTTTAATAGATTACAACAGTTTAATAAATTAATATTCAATTCCAAATGAAATGTATAATTCGGTTTTTAAAATCTTATCTTTATGCTCTTGTAAATGTTTGTAAATAGGTTATATATTATTATATTTTATAATACCAAAGTCATTACGAAAATACTAAAAACTAATAATAAGCATCCTGAGTATGTTAAACTGTTATTATCCGCACCTGATGTGCGTCTGTAAGGAGTTTCTTTAGTGGCTTCTTCTTTAACTGGTTCCTGAACAATATTTTTAGGTTTAGTAATGATTGCATTTTTAATCGTTTGTAAGGTAACATCTGAACATTTTCCTGTTTGTAAAGATTTCCTTTGGCTTTTAATATTAAAATATACATTACGATCACTAATTGGACATTCATTGACATTTTTACCCAATTTATTGTATAATTTACTAATTTGTAATGCCAATTTTTGATTAGAAGAGCACGAAGAAAATTCACCATATTCGCCATATTCACCATTTGCTTTGATATCGGAACAATCAACTTGCCCACATACATAATTGAAGTATTCCTTTTCTTTCTCAGCATTTTCAAATGGCAAGACTAAACAAGGTAAGACATTTTCCAAACAAGAACATTTTTTGACATCTGGAGCAGGTGGGATATTATTTGTAGCATGCCAGTTCATCATATACTGTGGTTGAGGGCAAGTTTCCAATTGTTGTAATTTCTTAAAGGCGTTAGAATTGATGTAATCTTCTTTTTTGACACCCTTTGGTGAGGCCATACCAAATTCCTTTTGTAAGTACTTAAAATCTTCAAGTTCTGTGACACCTAATTCTTCATCAACTTTTACTATCCCATATTCATTTTCTTCTTCAAAATACATATATGCCAGCCCTCCAGACCAAACGGAGGACATTTTAGCGCCAAATAAGGCTGATACTTCGGTGAAAGGACGAGGTCTGATTAGATTACAACCAAATTCTGAGAAAAATACAGGAATTGGATAACCTTCAAACTCTTTAGTACGTTCTTTATAACCACTTGTTCCATATGAAGAATATCCGCACCATTCATACATGTTTATACCATAAAAGTCAGCAGCATATTCACCACAAGCAAAATATTCAGCAAGATTATCTCTTGTATCAGCATCATCATTAGAAGAATAACCTACAGGAATACTTCTATATCCCTTTGCTTGAATATATTTCTTGACATCTCTAATTGCTGCCTTTACAAAAGGTGAAGCGTCGGTGTTTGTTATATCATTAGTGACCTCATTACCGGCAAAAAATCCTAATAAATTTGAATACTGATGCATAGAATCAATTACATCGCAATATCTTTTCCAAATATTGACATCCCAGGTTGGAGTGTCTCTGTTAATTGAGACATCAGGCTCAGCTAGATCCAATAATACGTATATGCCTTCATTTGATAATGCCTGCATACAAACATCGTGAGACTGAGTAGGGTCGATTGTATAAACTCGAATAGTATTAATATTTAATTTCTTTAAATAAGGAATATCTCTCAAACAAATGATGGGGTCTGCTAAAGGATCGATGTACTTTGTTTCAAAAGTATCTACCGCCGACTCTAACATTTCAATCGACCTGCTCGGCTGATAGGCAATACCTTTCATATAAAACTGTTCGCCATTGGAGGAATCAAAAAATTTACTACCAACAATCTCAATTACAGGTAGTTCTTTGTTCTCTACATTAGCTATCACTGCTGCATCTGTCAATTTTAATAATTGTATACAGAAAAATAGTATAATATGTAATCTCATTTTAGGAAGTTGGACTTTAGATCATTTTGTTACTAGAATCGTGATAGTTCGAGCTGTAACGAAGCACTTGAAAGTAAACGCAATTTATATTTAAAATATAATCAAATATTTGGAGTGTCTGTACTTTTGGTTGATACATCAATTAGTTTGTGTTCAGATTCTATTTATTATTTATTTGTGTCGTTGCTCATAAGTGTTCTTGTTTTATCTCAAATATTAACGATTGTACCCTTTTTGAACAGAAAAGATGTAGAAAATAGTGATTGTGGGAGTCTATCTCTAAAAATGTTTGAATATGTTGTCTCATGTTTCAGCCATTCGAAATTCATTGTTAAGCACTTCTAAATAATTTTTGATAATGATAAATTGATGAATACATAATACATTTAATTAAGTATATTTATTAATTTAATAAATACACACTGTATAAGAATAGTAAATAACTGTTTATGATAATGACAGAATTTTATCTACGCTTTAGTAGACCAAGTTGATACAAGCGGAGTACGTGTAAAGTAATGTCCAGATAATGTTGACAAACTTGGGCCGGTATCGTTATTATTGGTATTTCTTAATTGTATTAAATTTCTCCATGGTCCAGTTAAATCACTACCAAAATCTTTGGCTACCTTGGTAGATCCAACAGCAGGACCGATGATACATGCAGCAAAAACACCCAAGATTAAGACAAATAATGTTAGGTATTTGTTTACCATCCTCTTACGCAAACGGGCTTGCTTTAATGAAAAGATTGGAGGACGGATTTGACGTGAAGGTTTTAACCAAAACAACATGATGGAATGAAGTTTGTCAATCTGTGGAATGCATAAAATTGGAATTTGACAGAACATCAAGATATGACCTAAAATGAAATCAGCAGCAAATTCGGACATTTCAATAATCTTCGCTATGTATTCTCTAAATGGTTGTCTCCATGATAAAGTACCATAAGCTGCGGTAGACCAAGAACCACTCCAAAATGCGGTATTGGCGTTATCATGTTTGTGTTCACGAGATAAGAATAACCATGTGGCACATTGGAATACTAGCCTTTGAGCTTGTATACAAGCTGTGATACCAATAAGCATTCTTGTGAAATGGAAACCTTCCAAAACCCACATGATAATAAAAGTACCTAAATGAACAATGACTGATGTACCATGAGCAATTGCTGCTAGAACAGCACCAGTTCTCTTACAACACATACCAAATAATGGTGTGGAACAACATGATACCGCCATACAAAGTAATAATACACCAGCATTAACAGCAATAGGACCAAGTGTACAAATGATAAAACGTAAAGTAGAGTTAGCTCTGTCCTCATCTGTTACTTTTACACCAGTTTGTGCATTAATAAAAGTAAATGCAATAAAACAACCAGCAGTATATATTATACTTGGAATAATTTCAACTGTTAGTAAATTAGTTCTATGTGCTCTGTTAGAATCACCTGGCACTTTTTCAGAATCATCTCCAATAACTTTCGTTTGAAACCTGTTAACACGGGCTCTAGACAGCCTTACGTAACCAATCCATGAATTTCTATGATACTTACTGTTACCTCTTGATAACCATCTGACAAAGTCTCTATAATCTAAGAAGAAATCTTCCCATGAAAATTGATGAGGATTGAAAATGAAAGGTGCCCACATCAAAGAAACTAAGGAACCCCAAAACCATAATAATGGTGCTTGCCAGTGGGCAACAGTACTAAACAATAACATTACCATTGATCTGGCACCCATATAAATTGCTGAACCAGCAAATCTTGAATATAAGATGGAAAATGGAATACGAGCAGTTGCAAAACCACGGCCAGTAGAAATATAACGAGCACCACCAATTGTTAAATCGCTTAAAAGAGCTGCAGAATATATTTGACCTGCAAAAACTTCAAAAACCGGAGACAAAGACAATATATGACGGACAAATCTTAAACTAGCCTTCCATAAACCACGTTCGATTAATTCTTGAACAATCATAGGAACAATTGCAATCCAGAAAACAATAAAGATAGATAAGGTGTAACGTCTGACCCAATCTAGCACTGGCATTAGATTATAACAACCAACCGGATACAACACAGCAGTGATAGGTCTATGTCTATTGTAATCACATAGAATAGATTCGTGTGCTAATGATGTCATATTAACTAGTGTTAACATAAATATTTGCAATGACAATTGAATGAAGAAATTATTTAAATGGAAACCAGGGTGAGCATAGTAGAATGACAGAAAACGATCAATTGGCAATTGTGTACCCAAATAATAGTATTCACGAGATAACATTTGTTCACCCATGCCAGCACCAATCTTGGTTGTGAAATATAAAATTGTAC